AAGGGTATGTTAGGTTGAGCAATTCACCATATGGTGCACCGGTGCTATTTGAGAAAAAGAAAGATGAAACTATGCACATATGCATAGACTACTGGTTGCTCAACAAGTGTACAAAGAAGAACAAGTACCCATTACGAAAGATTGAGGACCTGTTCGATAGGTTGGAAAGGTGAAATACTTCTTGAGGATTGCCGTAATGTCAAGATACTACTAGATCAGTGTAGCAGAGGAAGATGTCGAGAAGACAACCTATCAAACAAGGTATGGAGGTTGGAAACAGGTCAAAGCCGTCACTAAAGCTAGTGGGGGCTTGTTACAAAGCATCCCAATTCCAGATCATCCATGGAAATGCCTAACAATAGACTTCATCACGGGACTCCCCCCAAGCGAGGGGTTTGATGCGATATTTGTGGTGGTGGACCGATTTTCGAAGATGGCACATTTCATACCTACCACAACGGAAGTGGATGTAGAAGGTGTGGCGAAGCTGTTCTTCAAACAAGTGGTTCAAGTGCAAGGAATGCCAGAAGAGATCATCTCATATCGAGATAAGATCTTCACCAGTAGGTTCTAGAGGATGCTTCTAAAATAATATTGCACCAAGTTGAAATTCATCACAGCCTATCACCCCCAGATAGGTATTGGGTATTAAGTCAAGTTTGAGGGCACTAACACTTCTTGATAGACAGACAAATGAAAAGGGTGAATAGGCAACTGGAGAATTATTTGCGATGCTTTGTCTCAGGAGACTAAACCGATTGGGTAAGTCATTTAGGACTTGTGGAAATATGCTATAACAACTCACCATATTCAAATATTGGGGTGAGTCTATAGGAAGTCATCAATGGGTGAGCTATTGAAGGTTCTGTGGAACTCGGCGTGGCCGAATATCATGGAGAATTACCTGCGGTAGAGGCATTCATAGTGGAAAGATTCAACATTTGGAATTTAGTGAGGGATTCCTTAGAACGGGCTCAACAAAGGCAAACCAAGTACGCAAACCAAAAGCGCCGGGATGTAGAGTTCTGACTTGGGGAGAAGGTGTGGCTGAACACCAAGAATCTGAGGCTACCAAGTGGGATCAGCCGAAAGTTGACCCAAAGGTAAAAATGCATGTATACCTAGAAATGAACTAATCTTGAGTTCCTTAAGCAGGTTCGTAGGGCCTTACAAGATTGAGGCACGAATCGGTAAAGTGGCTTACCGCCTCTGACTTCCTCGAGAGATGGGGAAGATGCACTTAGTATTCCATATGAACTTACTCAAGCTATACTTTGAGGATCCACTTCGCAAGGACCAAATAAGACCTTTACCTAAGGTTATCCAAGGGGAAGAGGAATACAAAGTCAAGGCTATTCTCAATATGTTGCAAGAGCAAATGACAAGGATGCAAGGTGAGGGAGTTCCATGTGAAGTGGAAAGGATTTCCACACTGTGAAGCAACATGGGAACCGAAGGAGAACCTAGTGAATGCGCGAGATTTAGTGGAGGAATTTTTGTAAGGCAGAACTCTATGTACTTATGCAAAGTTCAATTGAAGTATCAATTTGTGAAGTTGAGCAATAGCATATGTTGGGACCCAAAGGCGTGCCGAAGGTAAGTTAATTAGCATGGGTTAGCTAGGTCGGCCAAGCGTAGGGAACTACACCCAACTCCTTGCGAGGATGTCTAATCCGTAAACGTATTCTATAGAGGTTGGGTTCGAATCCCAACCCCCTAGTAAAGCAAGGCTGGGTTCAAGTCCCAACCCCATACTAGGGCGTGGTGAGGTGAGGGGTATAAGGACACTTATATTTCGTTGTCATGGGCTCTTGGCCGAGGAGGCTAACTCGCTAAGTGGGGGGATGCCCCTGGAGACATGGTCAATAAGTTGTAGGATTAAAAAGAGACATTTGATGTGGGCATTGAACTTCTTCTATGGGTGATGGAGTTGTAAGGAACCAACTCCCCGAGGTGTCATAGGCTAAAGGATCCTCGAAAGCATGACCGAAATGATAAAGATTTCATCGGATGGGACCAAGTCCAAGATTGAGTCCAAGATTGACTCTAAGACCAAGTTCGAGATAGAGTCCGGGATCGAGTTTGAGGCCGACTCCAAGACCGAGTTCGAGACCAAGTTCGAGACAGAGTCCGAGATCCGAGATCGGGT